ATCCACTGTGTATGGATTTGGAATTTCCCGGCATGAACACCAACCCAGCTGACAGGCTCTGTTGCAGCCTCTGTTCCAGCGGTTGTCCTCTGGCTACCAGCCAACCAGTCAAGGTACAGCTCATAGTAGGACGGGCGGAGGAATCTGACTGTGGTGCGCAGGGCAGTCGTTGCTCCGAGGGGATCTACCAGCAGTCCGGCTGGCTAGTAGAAAGTCTCTATGCACAGAGTGTGACCGCGAGTCATCACAAGTCACTCTTTTGCCTGGGAAGAAACTGGTTCGTTCCCGGTCCAGCGCTGCTTCTGAATAAGCTATTCAGGTTGTCGACGAGGGTCCAACTGTAGGCTGCCGTTGATCAAGCGGAGCATTCACGTTGGTAGAATTCTGAGTATGTATGGGATCCTCGGCCTCGCGCTTAGAACAAAGTCCAAGTCCTTTTGCAGACAACAGCAGTTGTCATGTGATTGTCTCTGAGGATGCGCGAAAATGGCCAAGAAGAGCCCCGATCTGAGCTTGCGCTCCCTTTTTGATCAAGACCCAGATGTGTGCTGATTGGTTGACAGTTTGGCGGGCATTGGAGAACCACGTGGTATTACCACGCCCTGCCAGTCCCTGATTGGTTGGTCAAGGTGAGATATAAGTCACTTACCCTTGACACTTAGGAATGCAGTCCAGATGTCCATTCGGCACTCCCTAGACTGATAGGCGCCAATGGATGACCATTGATCATGATAGCCAGGCTTAGCTAAGTGCATCCCCATCTGGGAGCTTGTTCCTTATCAAAAGAAAACATCTTAAATCAGCCTGCATGAATACTTTCTCTGTGGCTGCACCACAGAGATGGAGGGTGAGATGGGGCCTCCTTTAGGAGCATACCAACGCTTAATTCTGTCTTATTAACAAGCATTGCCGCTACACAGTAATGTGTAAAACCTCCAATTTACATCACAAAATAGACCACATTTCCAGGTATGCGCAGTGACATGTTCTGCAATTCAGAACGAGGCAACCAAAGTTCCAGTGAGGTGAAGAGGTTCTATTACATTATAAAAGTATAGGCTTGTGAATACATCTCTTTTAATCCAATAGGAATGTTGTTCTTGACTTTGAGACGGTTTTGCTGACAAATACAACTTCTTTGTTAACTCTGCATATAGATCATGTTGGAACATTTCTGCAGCTAAATTTCTGCTACATACTGTACTTATTCATACATCTCATACATTACTCATTATTAGTTATTACAGTGACTACTGAGCAGGAACGGCTGCTTTGTATCACAATTCATGCAAATTCTTGCTCTCAGCTGTGACAAGACTAGTGGTTTGTGACAGCATGGAGACTATAAAGTACTTTCACAAAGTTCATGATTTTGTTTTAAATTTATAAAAATTGTTGTTCATGTAAATTAATTTAATTAGTTAACAACATTTAATTGGTCTGAAAAAATTGGGACTGCACTTTCCCTTAAACATTCAAGGTTCAATTAAAATATTTACTTTAAAAAGTGTATCCTTAATGGCACATAATTGGAAGGGGTTGAATTCTTTTGCAAGGTACTGTATTGCCTAGAAATATGAGCAGACATTTTATTTTTTAGGAATAGTCTGACTCTTATTTTATCTCATATGAAACATTTTCTTCCACAAAATTGTGTAGATACAATCAGAGTGTCTTTCGTTGGATCTTAGAAATTGTAATAAAAACATATTTTATTGAAATCAGGCTTGCCTCAAAATAAAAGCGAACAGTTGACACTTCTGAACAAAGGAGTCATGAAAATCTGGAACAAAATTATCAATTTGTATCAGTTTCTAAAAGGTACACAGTTTTTAAAATAAATTGATACTACTGAAATACCCAGGCTAATGTTCTATTCAGCTATTCACAAAAATAATAAAATAATAAAACATTTATAGATTCTTCAAGGAGAACACTGGTGTAACACATTGACTGTGATTACATTGCAACAAAGCTCAAATACACAGTGTTGCTTGAAAGTACTGTATTTGAACCTTTCATCTTTCATAGTCTTAGAAAAAGTATCTTAAAAAATATTTTATCTGAACTGCAATATTAAGTTAAATTAACCCAAATAACAGACATACGTACTTTGACAAATTGTTTCATTATTAAATAAAACATGTTTATTTAACAGGAACTCAATGATCCCTTTGGGCAATAGCAAGTGAACCTTTTAATTCAGTAAGCAGTGGCACATCCATAAGGAACTACAGTATGACAAACATATTCTGTAGTTACTAATCAGATTCTCACATCTGCTTTGAGAAATATTTGCCCATTCGTCCTTACAAAACAGCTTCAACTGCTCCAGATTTGTTGGCTGTCTTGCATGAACATGCCTCTTCAGGTCATGCCACAACGTTTCTGTTGGGTTAAGATCTGGACTTTGACTCGGCCAAAGAAAAATTGAATTTCTTCCTCTTCATCCATTTTTGGTAGATTTGCTGGAATGTTCATGGTAGTTGTCATGCTGGAGGACCTTTTTTCATCTCATGGACAGAGGGCCTGATATTCTCTTCCAGAATATTTTGGTATGATTCTGAATTCATTGTTCTCTCAGTGATGGTAAGTTATGCAGGTCTATGGGCATAAAAGCAGACCCAAACCATGACACTCCCACTACCGTGCTTGACAATGGGGATAAGGTGATTTTGGTGTTTGCCAAACATGGCATTTTTTCTTGTGGCCAAAAAGATCAATGTTAGACTCATCCTTCCAGAGAATAATCCACAAAAAATCTGCAAGATCATCTAGATGATCTTTTGCAAACTTAAGACGAGCATCAATGTTCTTTTTTGAGGTGAAAGGTTTTCTCCCATGAATGCCATTACTGTTCAGTTTGCATTGTATTATTGAGGTATGAACATGGACATCAGCTGCAGCAAAAGAGCCTGGAGAGCCTTGGGTGTGGTCCTGGGGCTCTTTTAGACATTCTGTATTGATTTTCTTGGTTTTCTTGCTCTGTGGGATAATTTTGAAGAACATCCACATCTAGGTAGAGTCACTGTGGTCTTCAATTTTCTCCATTTCGAAACTATAATAATAATAATTAATAATAATTGCTTATACTTATATAGCGCTTTTCTGGATATTCAATTCCTCTAAATACTACATAGAATTTGTGGATTTGTTTAGAAAAGTAAGGACTAGTTTTGATTAAACAAGGATTTCATAGTAATAATGTAACAGAAACAAAACTTTCAAGCAGCACTGTACTCAAAATACGTGCAGTTATTTTAACAATTTGTTGAGAGGCACTAAGTGATGGATTCTGTGTTAGGATCTGCCGTGCACAATTATCATCCCATGGATCTCATGATATTTAATTATAAGTACAGTAAATGTAGTTGGCTATTATTGAGGTATTTCCCAGCGTGCCATTACATCAAATTTCTAATAGTAATCCCATACACTTATATAGCACTTTTCTGAACACTTTGCTCAATCTGTAAAATACTACAAACGTGATCATATTTCAGTGAGTAAATAAAAAAAGTTTGAGAGCTCAAGTGAGATTATGAAAGAGTGGCAGAAATGAAAGCTGTATCACATTGATCCAGAAAAACTGGTACATTGTTTTAAATTTAGGATGGGTATTGTTTAACATTTAAGTGTACCCCTGAAGGCATTGAAACAGACAACACTTAAAAGGCAGCTGTCTTCTGTTTCCTACACGAATGGATTTAGTCACGAATGGAAGTGACTAAATTGCAAGTCATTTCTTCTTGTCAGTTCCTTTTCACACCCAAAAGATCAGCAGTGTAGTGCCTGCATGTTTAGCTCTCACTTCCACAGCAGTGATAGAGGAGTCTCTCTATGAGGATGCTCATTATTTGTAACAGTTTGTGTTTCAGTCAGTCATGTTATTATCTCTGAACTAATTGTATCTGTTAAATCTGTTAAGATGAGCGACCAGTGTAGCAAAGCAAATATATTACAGCTGATGATTGCATTAAGGAGC